AGAGAAATCAGAGGAGGGAGCTGGGGCAGGCTCTGGGAGGGGAGGTGCTGTTTGGCCAGAGGGCAGGCTGGGCTGCAGTGATGGTGTTAAAAAGAGACAGCCACAAAAGTCATTCATTAATGATCTTTTGCTTTCCTGGGTGAAAAGGATCTGGAGAATTAAACTTTCCACCGCTGACACGGCAGTTCTGGGGGCAATAAAACTGCTGAGCTGTTGGAGTTTGGCTTTGGTTTTCTTTGGTTTTGTCCTAGGGCAGTTTTGCTGGTTTCCAGGATCCAGAGCTTTAGAAGGAAATTTTCCAGTTTCTCAAACCTGAATTTAGTTTAAAACAAAAAAAATCCTCCAAATGTCAAAGTGTAGAAATGTTTTTTTTTCTGGAGCGACCAACTTGCCTTGGGTTTAAAAATGTCAGAAAGGGTTTAACAAAACAGCAAACAAACTCTGCTATTAAAATAGCTCTGAAATGCTCCTGCAGCCTCAGCAGCTTTGCTGGGGGCTGTTTGTGAGTTTTCTCTTTGTTCCCCTGTAGGTTTACCAAGAATCTCTCTCCAGACAAAATCAACCTGAGCACGCTGAAGGGTCAGGGGCAGCTGACCAACCTGGAGCTGGATGAGGAGGTGCTGCAGAATGTTCTGGAGCTGCCCACCTGGCTTGCCATCACCCGGGTCTACTGCAACAAGGCCTCCATCAGGGTGAGCAGAGGCAGCTTTGAATGGATGAAGTTGTCCATTTACAGGCAGAATCACTGAAGTTGTGCATGGACTTGCACTTTGCACGCTGAACTCTTACAAGTTCTTCCTCCTTGTGCTTTTTAGAGCAAAAAAAAAGTGGTTTTTTAGTTGTTATAAGCTGTCAGGTTGTTTGATTGCACGTGGTGCTAACCACTGTTGCATTACATGAACTCAAAAGTTTTAAGGACATCAAAGAGACTTTCTATAAAAGAAATATGATTCTACTCTGCCAAGTGACAGTAAAAATGAGCTTGTCTTACTCATCTGATGTGCTCTGTTTTTAGAGTCAGATCTGCTCAGTTTAGTAACAAACATTTGTTCTCCCTCCTACAAGAACTGCAGAGTGAACGTTGCTGTATGAAAATAAAATGCAGCTTTTTGGTTTGTGCACAGGCTTCAAAAGAATTGTGTGACTTCCAGTAACAGCAGCAGTTAGTTGTGAACTCTTAAAGGCCAGGAATGTTCCCCACAGCAGAATTTGACCTGCAGAATATCTGTTACTCCTGATGATATATGAGATCCAAAAGCTCAGCTGGGTTTGTAGATCTGGTGTCTGGAATGTCTTTTCCCTTGTCTGTGTCTCTGTTTGACCTGGATACAATGAGACATTGCAGACATTTCTCAGAGAAATGGGGCTCAAATTTTGGGCTGAGGAGGTTTCCTGCACTTTCTGAAATTTTCCAATGCAGAAATCACTCTGATAACCTCAACTTTATCATTTCAGATCCAGTGGACAAAGCTGAAAACACACCCAATCTGCCTGGTAATGTTGCCTCTCTTGTCTTCTTTCCTTCCTTTCTCCCTTCTTCCTTTCTTCCTTTTCTTCCTCACTCTTTTTAATCTCTTCTACTTGAGAAAAATTCTGGGGAGGGAAACCATCCAGTGCTCAAATTTTCTTTGGACCTGAATCCTCCAGGTTCTTAGCACATAGGGGACAAGGACCCTCCCATGGGTCCCTCATTTCACTGCAGGATGGAGCCAGATGAGCTCTCAGGGAAGTCCAGGGCTACCTTGTGCCTGTTTTTTGGTTGCTTCCCCACTCCTGGGGTTTCAGGTTTCCCACTGACACTGATGGTGTGAGAGCTTTAACACATGAGACTCTTGGAGCATTGAGACTCCAGAGTTGGTTCTCCCTGCCCTGGAATCTCACCCCAGGGCTGGTGGGCTGGGCTTGAGGCTGGCTGTGCTGTTCATGGCTCTCTCTTTGTGTCTCTGCAGTACCTGGACAAGGTGGAGGTGGAGATGAGGACGTGTGAGGAGCCTCGGCCGCCCAATGGACAGTCCCCCATCGCTCTTGCTGCTGGACAGAGGTCAGACCCCGAGCCCTGCAGCTCCTGCTGGGCTGTGGGGGCTGCTGTGCTCCTTGACTCACCACTGGCCTCCCTGCTTTAGGGTTTAAGTGCCTTTGGTGTTGCTTATAAACCTCTCTGTGTGAGCCTTACCTTTGCCAGGCCTCATGAGGGGGATCTTCTCTTTGCAGTGAATATGGCTTTGCTGAGAAAGTCGTGGAGGGGATGTTCATTGTTGTCAATTCCATCACCATCAAGATTCACTCCAAGGCCTTTCATGCTTCTTTTGAGCTGTGGCAGCTCCAGGGCTACAGTGTGAACCCCAACTGGCAGCAGAGTGACCTGCGCCTCACCCGCATCACGGACCCGCAGAGGGGAGAGGTGAGCCTTGCCTTTGTACTGGCATCACAGAGAAAAGTGTCATGAATGATCTTTCCTTGTTTCATTTCGTGTCTTCTGAGTGTTTTTGGGGTTTTCTGAATCCTTGAAGTTGTGAAAGTCTCAGCATTTCCCTGTTTTTCTCCTCCCTCCTGGGCAGGTTCTGACGTTCAAGGAGCTCACCTGGCAGACCCTGAGGATAGAGGCAGATGCCACAGAAAATGGTGATCAGGATCCTGTCACCACTCCTCTGAGACTCATCACCAACCAGGGCAGGATCCAGATCTCTCTCAAGAGAAGGGTGAGAGTTTTCTCCATGCTTTGCAGGATGTGGTCTCACTGCCTGGTGCAGAGATGATGCATATTTCCTCCCACAGTCCTCGACAGCCCTTCTCTCCCTTCTGAAATGTTGAGCCCTAACTGATGTATCTCTCCATGTTTTCTGTCAGAGACAGCTGTGTTCTTAGCAAATGTCAAAGCAGTTTCTTTCCCAGGGGAGGATCTCGTGGATGGAGTGAGTTTTTCAATCTGTTTGAACATCCTAAGGAGAGCTGTCATCTCCTTACTGGGAGCTGGAAGCCTGGCAGCCTGATTTTTAGCTGTCAGTGGAAATGTGATGATTAAAAAAAAAATGAATTAAGCAGTGAGCAATTTGTCTCTTAAAGAGGAGGTGGCTTTGACTGCTATCCATCTGAGAGGAGGTGCTGTGGATATGCACCAGATACCATCTCTCAGAGCAGTTTCACAGCAGCCTCCCTTCTTTCTGCCTCTTTGTTTTGGGAGGACTCTATCTGTGGAGTCAATTTTTGAAGTCCCTAACACCTTCCTTGCTGTTTCAGACCAAAGATTGCAATGTGGTGGCCTCCAAGCTGATGTTTCTGCTGGATGACCTGCTCTGGGTGCTGACAGACTCTCAGCTGAAAGCAATGATGAAATATGCTGAGTCTCTGAGTGAAGCCATGGAGAAATCTGCTCAGCAGAGGAAAAGCTTGGCACCAGAGTCTGTACAGGTGAGTGAGTTTGGATACTGGTCTGCCAGGGAAAAAGGCAGTTTCTGTTTGTGTGGCACCTGGCCCACATTCACAGCATTTTCCTTGATGGGAACTCTGGTCAGTGTCATGTGGACTGTGGGGTAAAGAGGTGACCAAATGAGTGGGATTCATTGCCAATAAAATACATTTTCCAAGTCAAGGATGAGGCAAGAGGAATATTTCTGCTGGGGTTGGAAGCTCCAGGGAAGCAGAGATGCACACGTAGTGCAGTGAGGCTGCACAGGAGGCATGGGGAGTACTTGGCCCTTTTTGCCCAGGAATCTTAAAACACGATCCAAGAGAAGTGCAAGCAGCTGGCAGAGCCACAGACAAAGGTGAGAGCACAGGAGAGGATCCAGATCCTGGGAACCCCAATTCAGTCCTATAAACCAATGCCTTAGAGGCTGGCAGATGTGCATGAGCTGATTAATTGCATTATAACCTCAGTGTTTTCCCTCTCTCTGAGCTCTCCCTGAGCCTGTCCCTCTGCCACAGATCACCCCCCCTGCTCCCAGTGCCCAGCAGTCGTGGGCTCAGCCCTTTGGAGCCAGCCCCAACGCCAGCAGCATCGGGCAGTACTTTGACAAGCACGACATGAAGGAATCCTCCTACCACCTGCTCATCTCCCGCCTGGACCTGCACATCTGTGACGACAGCCACGCCCGGGAGGCAGGTCAGCAGGGAGGGAAGCATCCAGAGGCAGAAACAACAGCCAAAGCAGTGATTTTCTGGCTGGAAGAGGGTTGGGGTTTTGCAGTTTGGGATTTGAGTCTCCAGGCCTGGTTCTTACCATATAAACCATTGATTCAGGTGTCCTTCTCCTGGGCTAGGACAAGATTTTGGTGCAGATTGCTGAAGATGGTACCCCAATCCTGGCTGTGGTGTCAGTTAATCAGTGGGGCAGTCAGAGCAGTGTGGTTCTGAATTCTCCTGGATCAGGGCTCTCATTGCAGAGCTGACCATGGTTTCCTCTGCTCTGTTCCTCACAGGTGCTCAGAAGCATGGCATGCTGGGCGGTGCCATCCAGCTGACCTTCAGGAGGATGGCTTTTGATTATTATCCTTTCCACAGGGCAGGTAGGGAGCCTGGGGCCTCACAACCTGAGGAGGGGGGTAAAAAATGAGTTTAAAGAACTGTTCTATGATTGCAGGCTGGACTAGAAGAAAGAAGCTGCATTTTTAAAGCTGGAATCTTTGCTTTTCTGCAGGAGATGCCTGCAAGCATTGGGTGAGGTACAGTGAAGCAATGGAGACTCGGGGACAGTGGGCAAAGAAGTTGGTCAGTGAATTTCAAAGCAAGATGGAGAAGTTTTATGAAGAATCAGACCCTATGTTTGCCAGGACTCCACTTTCTCCTTTCAAAAGGAAACCAGGTAAAGGTACTTGATAAAACTAGTGAAGCAGGAGGTGGTACCAACTTTGCTCCATCCAGCAAAATCTTCAGTTGCCCATCCCCAGCTGAGCAGGCTGATTTGTTGGTGCAGGAATGCATAGCACTCTAAAAATCATAAATATAATGGCAAAGGAAAGTGGCTGGCAGAGCACTGCAGCAAGAAGGGACAGGCTGCAGTGGATTATTGTTGAGTTTCTCCATAAGATACAAGGATGAAATTACATACTTAAGACCTGGCTTAGGAGTGTGTTCTCTTGCCACAGAACAGACTCACCTTTCACAGTGTTCTTCCTTCAGAAGTCCTCAGTGTTTCTCCTGCCCAGCTGTGTTCATCCCTTTCTAATTCTGGGGCTGTTGGTTCTGCTCAGTAAGCACAGAGGTGATGGTGCAGAGAAGGTGACCAACACCCTGTCTGTCCCCACAGAGCCTCCC